CTTCACAGGGAACCACTTTTACCATAAATACAACAAGCAGAAAGAGCATCTAATATCGCGTACCAAAAATTATTGCCATTTACACACTTAATAGTCCGATTTATTTACTCGAAGTCATTAATATTTATAACACTGCTTGCTCGTCGCCATATTGAATGCGCTATATTGATAAACGGTAGTCTGGCACTAGTATAATTTGTTTGCTACTCAGATTGGTGAGATTGGTAATCTGGCAAGTATAAATACTGCGCCTCCCGACCAATCTCATAGTTATTATACTAGCTAGATTCTTGCGAAACGGGTGACTAGCCATACCTTTCGCCGAAAATAACTTCGGCCCCATCGAACATATCGTCTTTGTAATAGTCTTGTTCGAATCCCCATTAAATAGTGTTTTTGGAGTGTTATTTGCAACCCTGAATCTACAAATCTGTATCTTTTATCAATATATTTCCATTTCTTGTCCGACTGTGAGCTCGAAGTGAATTAATCCCAACCGGAAATACGACTGAAAACCGTCAAAACAATGCGGCGTTTGTATCGTATAAAGTAAAAAACAAATTCCGAAAATACAGGACATCTTGAGAATTTAATATATAATTCAAAACAAGACGCAGTTTGAGACTGTAAATTTTCGACTTTATTTCAAAGTCATCTTCAGACAGAATGAAATACAATACTTTACAACACATATATATACAACGCAGAGAGAGAGCATCTGTCATGTGGGCGGAAAGAAGGATTATCCAAGCGAAGCGAAACATGATAAAGACTAGAGGGCACTCAGAGACTGCATACCTCCGCCTACGCGCAAAATATTGAAGTAATCTATTGTTATTAGAATTTGAATGGCTGGTGCATATATTATGCACGTCCTAATTACGCATTCAGTATAAGTTTTATTTAATTGACCGGGAAAAGCAAGACAAACTTTTGTTATTTCTCATTCAATTTTTAACCAAATTGAACCAAATTTTAATCAGTTCTTCCTTAGTCGATGGGAAATGCACTCACAAAATTTCGTACGGATATGTTTGGTATTTCTTCAGTTATCGTGCTCACAGACAAACACACACACACACATACACACACACATACACACACACACACACACACACACACACACACATACACACACACACACACACATACAAACCCAGATGATTACATAACCTCCTGGCGGAGGTAATGATTACATAACCTCCTGGCGGAGGTAACCAGATGATTACATAACCTCCTGGCGGAGGTAACCAGATGATTACATAACCTCCTGGCAGAGGTAACAAACCCAGATGATTACATAACCTCCTGGCGGAGGTAAAAATGGTAATAACTGAAAATGGAATATTTAGCTTATTTACAACAATGTTTAATATATTAGAAGGATTGAGGTAGAAAGCGAAAGACCCGACATGTAGAAGAAGATTAAGTTAAAGTGTTATGTGAACAGTTGTAGTTCTTTACTAGCTTTAAGTCCAGTGTTAAGAAAAATTTAATCATGACACGGATGATGATATGTTGCCTAAAATTTGGATTCGTATTCCTTATCTCGGAAACCGTGGCGATTTTCTTTTAAAATCATGTCTTAATAAAATACAAAGATTTCTTTCTAAACCGGTTAAGTTCATCACTATTTATGACACTAAAAAGCTTTCTTATTTTGTTTCCAACAAAGATAAACTTCCTCCTTTATCTCGTAGTAATCTTGTATACGAGGTCGCTTGCCCTGGTTGTGGCAAAACCTATATTGGCATGACACAAAGATGCCTTTCTGTACGTTTGAAAGAACATGCAACTAGGCTCTCTTCTAGTGCAGTGGGCCAACATTTTTCTGAGTGTGAACATGCTCAATTCTTAGCTACTTTACAATACCAGTTCACACTACTCAACGATCTTCCTTTACCTTCTGACAACTCTTCTCCTATTGAAAACCTTGTTTTCAACAGCTACAGAATACATCACATTACAAAATCTAACAACTACAACATTCTTGCTTTTCTTGAAGCACTGCTTATCAAACATAACAAACCTTTTCTTAACACTGGACTTAAAGCTAGTAAAGAACTACAACTGTTCACATAACACTTTAACTTAATCTTCTTCTACATGTCGGGTCTTTCCCTTTCTACCTCAATCCTTCTAATATATTAAACATTGTTGTAAATAAGCTAAATATTCCATTTTCAGTTATTACCATTTTCTTTATCATGTTTCGCTTCGCTTGGATAATCCTTCTTTCCGCCCACATGACAGATGCTCTCTCTCTGCGTTGTATATATATATGTGTTGTAAAGTATTGTATTTCATTCTGTCTGAAGATGACTTTGAAATAAAGTCGAAAATTTACAGTCTCAAACTGCGTCTTGTTTTGAATTATATATTGAATTCTCAAGATGTCCTGTATTTTCGGAATTTGTTTTTTACCTTATTTTTTTAAATTGTCGGCTGGTCATGGTTTTTGTATCGTATGACCCTGGAAAGGCCAGAAATGGATTCGCAAGGTCAAATTGCACCTACACGCGTGAGTTTGACGTCATCCCGGCCAAAGGAGCTTCTTATTGGCCAATTATTGCGCAATGTACGCAAGTGCGAGTAAAACCCGACATCTTGAAAAATTCAAAATAAATATTTCTAGTCGGCGTATACATACGAAACTTTCTACACAAAAGCGCTTGAATACAGAGAGTATTTTACACGTATAGCCGTTCAGCAAATGATGAAAAGTTCAAGGGGTATTCAAGATCTTGTGGATATGAAATTTAGAATCTTTGGCCAAGCGGTGAGTAAATATATGATTGTTTCGCTTTGTGTAATGTTTTGACGGCACTTGACCCCCCGTTCGAAAGGTTATTTTATGAGGATTTCAATGGTGGTATTTATTTAAAAGGGGGGGGGGGTAAATACTCGCCGAGATATTTATATTAGAAAAATTGAATCGAAATGTAATGCGAAACCGGCCTGTCGGGAAAGAGTTTTAAAAGTCATCGATATTACGGGCTATGTTGCTGAATGAGGTGAAACAACGAAAACCGAATAAAGTTAACTTATTTTGGTGATTTCTTATACACGCAGCATTGAGTGTGTTACTCCTGTTAGTAATTAAAATGTAAATAATTATGCTATATACGTACTTATACGCATAAATCATCATAATTGAACACCCCAAATACTGGAGATTTTGAGGTCATGTGACCGGCGGATGCCAAAGCCATTTTCGCTGACCGGAAGCCGAAATTACCCTGGGTACGAGGTTGGTAATCTTGGTGACCCACTGTACCAACCTTCAGACAAATACCTTCACGTTTAGTTTCACCACGGTTAATAGATTTCACCGAGCAAGATACACAAGCGGCTTCGTACACATTAGTTTATATTCGATTTTGAAACATTTGCATAACGGAATAATTAATATTCGTAAAAACGTACTTTAGATACATCTTTTTTAGACATAAAGTTTCTTTTTTGACCGTATTCTTGCTTTGATGTATAGAGTCCAACTGCAGTCACATATAGACCACGTGTTCAGTCATTATATATGGTCCATGATAACAGTCAAATACGGTCAAAGCGTCTTAATTGTCGACAAATATATCAGTCAAATTAGTCATGACTAAAATCCATTACCAGGTTTGTCTTGATTTTTTATTACAAAGTGAAGATTGTAATCATATCAATAGACCAAAATATCATAATAGTCTACGGTCCGCGAGACTATAGTTCTAATCATATAAATCCTGTATCAGGTTGTGCTTATGTGGATCGGTGTGGGATCTAGTAATGAGCACTTTCAAAGAGCTTATAAATTAACAACAAAATATTTTTAGTGAAGACGATTATTATGGAGTTGTTTTACTCCAAACCGTAAAGTGAGAAGTGAAATATTTATTTTTTCTTTCCTGTAATGTTGTTAAATCCGTTTCGATCACCAACAGGAACACGATAGAATTACATATACAGTCAACTAACGAGTAATTTCTCGTTATATAATGGTCATTTGCTGCGGGATGAGGGTACCTGAATATAATTGCTTGTCGTTTTTGAATTTCAACAAGCCTTCGCTAGTCAGAGGGGCATTAAAGGTATCCTCTCGATCGAGTGTTCATTAATTAGAAGTTGGCTAACAGCATCGCCTGGTTTAATATGTAGTCAGAAGTGTTAGATTGATTGAAAATATTGCTTCTAAGCCTCGTTCTGGTAAATTGTTTTTGAATCAGTTGGTTGAATAACATGTTTATCATGTGGGGAAAGGGAGTTCAAAACTTTCAGAAGAGTCCCACACGTTCACAAATTAAAATACAATAAACGATAAATAAAAAAACTTTAATAAAAAGGTCACTCTGTCACAATCGTTTCGATATATGAATCACTGTCTCTCACCGAGTATATAACACAACACACGATGCAAGCCCACAAAATCTGTTTGTTAATTATTGTCATGCTGCCCTATAATCACGTGATTACTTTGTCCAATCATAATTGTATATATTCGTTTGTAATGTAATATCCCTGATTAATCTAAAATTTACTGTAATTGAATTAGTGCTAAATAGTCAATAGCAGTATTAAGGTCAGTTTCCGACAATCACAATCCTCTTTCGTATCCTTACTACTCGATAGAGAAGATAAATCAATACTAAGATGGTAATAAATTCTCCAAATCTATCCTAAACCTTCCGGGTAACCCACTAACCCTTTGGGCTAAGATGCACTAAACTCAGTGAACAACTGATAAAATACCTAATAATCCCCAGAAACGTGCGTGAAACTTTGGCTTCAGAAGATGTGTTATCAATACACCACATGAATACACCAAGCTAGACAGATCAAGTGTTTTCTGACAGTATTTTCACTCGACACGCTGTGACGTGAAATAGTCAAAGGATTTATCAGTGTCTGGGACGTTCATTACGAGCATAATTAGCATATCACTAGCCAAATAAGGTTTTGGTAATTCGAGCTTCCTTCGGCAAAGTGGAAAAGATATTTCAACACGTATAATTAATAAAGGGCTCCGACGCCTGTTGGTCAGGATATTTGTCCCAATAAAAGAGGCCCACAGAAGTCATTCCGCAAGTATATTGCAGAAGCCCAAGGAGCCGGACGTGTGAACAAGAAGAAAGGTTGTTGTATATACTCACTCCGCCTAGCTCAAGCTTTGTTAAGGCGTTTTAAGTCATCATTCTCATCAACTAAGTACTCAGGTAAGTCTGTGAGCATTTTAACAACATTGTTTATGAGTTGAATCTTTTGGGGTTATTGGTTTATTGTGTGTTCAGTTGACATTATTTATGCAAGTTATATCAGACAATAGACATCATTTCCACATTTAATACTTGTCGATAAAACTGTGAAGGTATTGTGATACTTTAATAGCCCGTTGTCAAGTACAAATGTATAATATTAATAATGAACATAGGTTTCTACTTGGCTGCTACCTTGACTTTGCTCATAAAATTGCGTGACGTGAACTCGATTTCGCACCAGTTTTTGACCTGCGATGTTTCTGATGCTGCTAATTATGTCTTACATGCAGTTGGCATATGTGAAAAGCATGTGTGAACGCGAGTAGTTATTGCGCATATGGAATTTTCTAGCTATAGTTGACGCCAATTATGCAAATGTGGTAAAGCAGCGGAAAGCACGCGCAACTCAATGCTTCATTTCTATGATTATGCCTGGGATCATGATGTAAACTGCAAACTATGAATACATTATGTATTAACATATGAGATCTAATACAAAGGTTAGCACGTTACAAACACATTAAATATGTTTTAGTACAAATCGTTCAAATAAATTGAAACCGCTAAGCCATTTGAATCTACCACTATTAAAAGTTAGTGAATTAACCTTCGCACTGTCGTTGCTATTATTAAGATCTATTTCAGACTAAGTAATCTAATAAGAAAGCGGAGCTCAAAATACACGTCTTCACGGAACGACGGACGGCATGCCCAAATGTTTATTAAAATGTTTATTATAGTTGTTAGAGATAGGAATGTGTAGTGAAAACCGACAACAGAAATTCTAATTAATAATTCATAAGCTTATTGGCAAATCATGTCAACCATAATATGTCACGTGCAGTGGCTATAAACCTGATAAAACACTCCTAATTAGTATTCTTTATATAAAGAATACTAATAAGGCAGCATATATTGTTGTTGTTAATTAAGGCAGCATCTATTGTTGTTGTTCTTTTTTCGCATTCTTCGACTGCAAAAGCGTGCAGCACGTATTATTCTAGACGCTGACTTTTCTACTCCTTCTGTTCTTCTTTTTTCCCAGATTCGAATAATCCCAATCTTTGATCTTGTTAAATTTAGGAAGCTTCTCTTACTAATTAACATTCTCACAAATCCCAGTGCTCCCTCCATCTTCATTTAAGCAAATGTTTAAATTCTTATCTTCTATTCGACAACGGGCTCTGACTAGAGCTTGCGCATATGACCTTCACCCCCCCCCGTGTCTTTAAACCTAATAAAACACTCCTGCTAGTTTATTAAGCAGTACATAAAGAGTTTCTGCAAAGAATAGCAGCCATAGATCCGAATAGTGAATGCAATTTGGGCGTAGACCGTTTGGACTCAACGCCTCCGCAAAATGCTTCGATAAAGAATATTAATGACTTCATGGTAAATTCGAACTTAGGGACGGACCATTTGATTTTTGATGGGGGGGTGGGTAGATTTTCAGTTTGCTCGATATTTTTTTTCCGCCTCCTGACACTGTTCGATTTTTTTTTGTCAGTCAGAGGACTTGCACGATATTTTTTTGTATGCATGTATATACATTTTTTAGTTTTTTGTTTTTACATTTTTTGGTATACAGTATAATAGGTATTAAATTGGACAAGTACTGGTGTAAGACATTGTGTAGCCTAAATAATGAGAGGACCAGTATTCAAAAAATGGTTGTTCTTCACTTATTTCTTTACTCCGACTCCTATGATGAACATGTACGTAAAAAAAACTAGGCCTAGGAAACTACGATTATATATAGAAACTAAAGTATAGGTGAAATTTTTATGGGACTCCATAAAAGGTGAGGATATAAGAGTGAGAGATTGAAATTGAGTAGGAAAGGCAACTCTACACGCGTTTCGACCCAACAGTCTTCTTCAGCAGGGTTTTTTAAAGGGGAAATATAGAATTTGTAGAGGAGAAGAAAGGAGAGTTTAGGAGTTCGGAAAATAATGTGAACTTGGATCCTCTACGTAGCAAAATCCACACCAGAACTAGCTATATAGCTATCTATTGGTCATATCGTATCGTTCATTTACTAATCTCTGTTTTGGTTTTGTTATATATGTACATGTTTTAGTTATTATTGTATATTCATATATTTTAAACAAAAATCAAACCCTGCACGGAGTTATCATTATTTTTATCACTTATGTATCACTAATTGCCAAACGCCCCTATCCCTGTCTTATAAGCTCCTACACCACTAACACCATATTTGGATGCAATCACCTACAGTCACATGATCACCCTTACCATCACAATCACAATCATTCAAACTCACTATACCATTGTACTAGTAAGTTAACCCTTAATTGAAGGACCTGCAAATTTGCTTCACTTCACCAATACGAACGATGAACAATAAAGTGCGTAGTGTTGGAATGTCCCGCAAACAACAAGACCTTTGGTAGGATAACTTGACTAATAATATGTATGGTAGTTACATCCTTTCACTGTGTAATTGGTTATTTTCAGTTATTTCGTAATAATTTGTTTTCCTCTTGGTCTCACATTATTTTCCGAACTCCTATAAACTCTCCTTCCTTGTCCTCTTCAAATTATATCTACCCCCCCCTTAAAAAACCCTGCTGAAGAAAACTGTTAGGTCGAAACGCATACCCCTGTACGCTATTCCTACTCAATTTCAATCTCTCGCTCTTATATCCTCGCATAAAAATTTCACCTATTTTAGTTTCTACGGCCGTGATTTAATCGTAGTTTTCCTAGTTTTTTACGTACATGTTCATCATAGGAGTCGGAGTAAAGAAATAAAGAACAACCATTTTTGGAATTATACTGGTCCTCCCATTATTTAGGCTACAGGGCCGTGGGAAGAAATTTTTGATTGGGGGGCTGAAAGCGAGGGCCGAAGGCCCGAGGAAATTTTTAAATTTAGAGTCACTGAAACGCCATTTCCTGGACCCTGCAGCCCCCCGGTTGCTACATACGGCCTGGGCTACACGTGGAAATGCACCGAATGGCAAATAAGGATTACCACTCGAAAGTCTTGCTCGATATTTTTTTTCGTCCGTTTATTCTTGCACGATATTTTTTTTAAGTTCGAATTGCTTGCCCGATATTTTTTTTGGGATTCTACCCACCCCCCCATCAAAAATCAAATGGTCCGTCCCTTAGCGGGAGTTGAAGTGTTAGATTTGGAGGACTCTTGCGCTATCAGCCTATCTGACAACAATATAACAAATGGAAGTTTTCAGGGCTGTGAAGAAAGCGTTTCATGGGATGAAGAGAGTGACTGTGCTTCACAATGTCGTTAAACGTTTGGATTCATTAACGCACCAATTCGAAAACCATCGAACTGAGACGTCTGTTGTTCTAAACGAACTTGTTAATATATACGCTATGATATCCCTCCGTGTAACCCACACTGGAAGAAAGCCTGGTTCCTAAGCTTCTTGTTGATATCAAACATGGACGACAATTCATGAAACATCGTTCTTCTTGCAATGTTTCACGGCCTATGGACAGGGTATTTATGTGTAAAATATCAACATTTTGTCCCGTAAATTGGAACAAGTAAAAAAATTCGTATCACTATGAAATTATGCAGACAAGCAGGGGACAACATATATTATACGACGCGAAGTCTGCAAATTTCATGAAGGGTTCGAGGGATACATGCGGCCAGAGCAAAATGTACGTTTTCAACGATTTTCTCAAGTTTTACTATACTTTATTATACGCCGATGGACTATGAAGTGAACTTGAATAATGGAACAACTTATAGGTAAGATTTCGATGCGAAACTTTTCTGTTCTACGGTGCAGATAGGGTTTATATTATTGCGAAGTCTGCAAATGACATAGCTATTATCAAACAGGTTTAAATTAAAAAAAACCGCGCCACTCCTAATGATTTATATATAATAAATCCGCCATTTTGTTTGTCAAAGTTCGCACATGCTCAGAATCCATGTCCGCAATTTCTGGCCATCGGAGTAGTGAGTGAGTGAGTACTAATAAGTCTGAAATTGCAAATGCTTTAAACACATATTTTAGTGAAGTCAGGCCAAAACTTACGGTGGCCCACATGTGCCACGGCCAGGGGCGTAGGAAGCACCTGGAGTTTGGGGGGGGGCACCGGCTTGTAGGGGCACATTACTATCGGAAAGGGCACCTAAAAATTTTTCCCGGAAATGTTGTCGACGGGGGGGGGGAGAGAAATTTCTCCTGAGGAAAATTTTCCGTCGTATCATACCGAAATTTATGTTTGTGACCTAATTTTTAAAAAAATTTGTAAATTTCCACACAAAAACGGCACCTATTGTTTTAATTTAGTATTTACAGCGACATTAGCTTCTACAAAAGGGGCACTTTTCCTCACAAAAAAGGGCACTTTTCAACACAAAAAGGGCACTTTTTATCACAAAAAAGGGCACTTTTAGTCCTTTATAGCCCGTGCCCCCCCGCTTCCTACGCTCCTGGCCACGGCAAAAGCAAATTCGTCACGGCAAGAGCAAATTATCCACGGCAAGAGCAAATTGCCGACGGCAAGAGCGAATTGCCGACGGCAAGAGCGAATTATCCACGGCAAGAGCAAATTGCCCACGGCAAGAGCGAATTCATCACGGCAAAATAAAAATAAACTGGTCAGCGGTTTGGTCAGCGGTTCTTAATTTTTGCCAGTAATTCATGTAAGAAATATATGATGGGTGCATTGAACTACTTGTGAATTGATTCGATTTATTTTCCTACTTTTATTAAACTGTAACTTTTTAAATTAAAATATGTTTTGTTCAGCTTGTGGAGTTGAACGGACTCGGGCAGAAGATAGGTTTTGTTCGAGTTGTGGAAATGGTATGTATTGTATATGATCCATTGTCGTTTCGCCTTGGCCCTTGAGAGACGTTGCTTTCAAATAAATGTTGCAGGCTGCCTTATACATTCTTGGCCCTTTTATTCTGTTTTAGTCATGCAGCTAATAGAGGTTATTTTTAAACAACATACTCAGATATGAGGAAAAATGGTCGAACATCAGAACATTCAGATGTTGCTCAACAACTATAGCCCCCCCCCCCCCCAACCTGAGGCAGGGGTCAACAAAGTTTTGCCTTCCTCTCTACTTGGGGGTTGCTATCATGTTGGGGACCAACAGCAATATTGACACCCCCATCTAAACTATACTCTATGCTCTAGTTAATTTTCAAGAATAATAATACCAAGTCGAGACTTTGTAGCAAATTTGCTACAGAAACATTTCAGCTTTGCACAAACCTTGTTCTTATGTACCGATCAATTCGAAACTTCATCATCATATCCCGGGAATTTGACTTCAAGTCTTCTCCAGGGAGTAAGGAATTTGACGTTCTAGGTCTTCCATGTGGTGGGGCACTTGATAACGGGGTGGGGAATTTGAACCGGAAGTCTTAAAATTTTGCCCGTTTTCGCGTGCTTCCTGCATGTACAGAAAATACTTCGCATTGGCGGCAAATACAGTTTTCTCAGATTTCAAGGGAAACGGCCTCAATTTTGTGAAAAACTGGCTCAAAGAAACGGGAATGGAAAATCTATGTGTTTCATTCGAAGGTATGTACTACATAATTGTGTAAAACTGGTAAATTTCCACAAGGTATCCAAACTTTTTACGTGAATTTCGCTATCTTGTCGAAAAACATTTCCATATATTTTGTACTTTTTGTATTTACTGTTTTATAATTTTCATATGAAGGTGGGGCATTTGAACGCTTAATTTCTTGTTACAGTGGGGCATTTGAAGACAATTTTTGCTCAGGGGGTGGAGAATTTGATCAGTCACATTTCAAAAAGTTCAAATTCCCGGGGGGGGGGGGTGAAGTTTCGAATTGATCGATACATTAGGCTATTGTCTATTCGCATTTGATCATAATTAAAAAACGCTCTATTGAAATGTTTAACAATCTTGTTAAGATTTTCTTGTGGATCAGAATGAAATAACTGATGAAGAGTCTGATGATGAAGAGTCAATAAGTAGCACAGATAGTGAAGAAATCGACGAAAAAGAACTTATTACATTTTATTTTAACCGTGGTTTTAGCTATAATGAAATAATTCAATTTCTTGCAAAACAGCATAATTTTTCTATAAGCTATAGGACACTCTGCAGACGTTTAAAGTCATATGGCCTTTACAGGCAGGGATTCAACGAACAAGTTAATTCAGAGGACATCTTAGAGATAGTGAGACGACGGATAACTGAAATTATAAATGGACCTGGATCCTGTGGTGGTTACAGAACAGTCTGGCACACCTTAAAGATGGAAGGTCTGCAGGTCCCCCGAATTGTTGTTCAAGAAATACTAAAAGAGCTAGATCCAGAGGGAACAGAGCGCAGGAAGGCTCACAGGTTAAAGCGAAGGCAGTATCATAATCCTGGCCCAAACCATTCATGGCACATGGATGGGTATGATAAACTTAAGCCATTTGGCTTTCCTGTCCATGGAGCCATTGATGGATTCAGTAGAAAAATTTTGTGGTTAAACGTGACTCGCTCCAATAATTCTCCAGACAATATTGCTCAATACTATTTAAATGCTGTAGGTGAATTTAATGGGTGTCCAAAAGTATTAATAACAGATATGGGTACTGAGAATGGATTGGCAGCATCAATCCAGTGTTATTTTAGGGATGAACTTGAAGCTCATCGCTATGTGCCATCGACACGAAATCAACGCATAGAAGCGTGGTGGTCATTTTTTGTGCGAAATAGGTCATCATGGTGGAGGAATCACTTCAAAGACATGGAGTCAGAAGGAATGTTAGATTGTGCTGCTGAAATAAGTATGGAATGTCTTTGGTATTGCTTCGCAGAGCTTATTCAAAAGGACTTAGATTTTGTAAAAGAGCATTGGAACTGTCACCGAATTAGAAAATCAAGGCATGATACAAGATCAGGGCGTCCCGATTCTCTTTTCTTCCTACCAGAACATCATGGTGCTATTAATCTTTTGAGTATGGTTCCTCAAGAAGAGATTGACTATGTTTCCCAGCATGTAGTGTATAGAAACAGCAGAAATGAATATCAAGAATACTTCGACTATGTAATGGCAACCTTGGGACTAAACAGACCAACAAAATGGGAAGAAGCAGACAATTTGTACTGTCAGTTTATGGCAATAGCCGAAAATGGTGCCTGAAATGATGAAAATGTGAGCAATACAATAAATTCACTTTGAACATACTGTAGGGCAGATTTTTAATCATGGCATTTCACCATGCATGGAGAATGAAATGGAGATGCATTTTATTCATTTCATGTACCTTCAATAGTTATGATAATACTGAGATGTGTACCAATGATCAAAATTGGTTTATACAACACTATCATGCCAACTTTGGCCTGATTACTAATAAGGCCAGAAACAAGGTACTGTATATGTTACATTTGTTGATGTTGCGAATTGTTAATCTGACAAATGGTTGTAGGCTACTGTAAATGAGAAAAATAAAGTCAAACTTGGAAACAGTAGAAACAACAGAAAACAACATTATTTAAATACTGGATATGAATAAACCAAAATGTAGGATAATAAGTTACCATATTCCAGTCACCACTTAATATAAAACTGTGAACTCAACAATGTTAATGTGCCATGCAATTAAATAATCTACTGTTTATACATTCCCAGTTGTAGGACTGTAATGGTACAGGGGTAGCTGTACTTAAAAGTTATCACCTTGGTTTATTTCCTTTTTCGTATATCAATTTGTTTAATTAATAGAACCAAAACAATATGGATCCTATTAATATGACACTTTAAAGCACATTAAAAAATTCTTTGTTTGCAATCACGTGATGTTTAATATGGACAATTTTTCTCCTATCAGAATGACTGTAGCAAGAAAAACTGAATGGTAATTCTTCTTTTGAGTCTTAAACTGTCTCTAAACTCAATACATTGACATAGCTGGTTTTTTGTTATAGCTGCCCGTCAACTGAAATCCCAAATTTACGTCATTGCAAACAAAGAATTAAACTTCCGGAGTGCTGTGCCAGAAAATATGGCAGGGACTTGATATATAGCTTTTTGATGTCCCATAATTTTTTTGTGAATTACTGATTCATCCACATGTTAAATTGCTCATGCTTTTTCAAAAGTCTGTCCTTTGGAGATAGCCACCATAAAAACATCATTAAACTCTTCAGCTGTCTTCATATGAGCGACGGGAAATGAAATTTCTTTGGCACAAGCTCCAACTGTTGGATAGCAGATGCGATGGTTTGGATTATGCATAGCACAATCATGATTGAATCTAACCGTGACTGTAAGCGGTTCTTCATCGAGAGGTTTGTGTTTTTGGCCAGTAAGCCATCCCATGATTCCTGCAGGAGTGCAATCTGGAGAGAGTACTAGCTGTTCCTGTTCGCCTTCGGCACCTGCGCTATCATCGTCACTGGTTGCAAGTGCCTGTGCGTAACCAGAAACGCATGGCTTATCTTCCAGACCAAACAAGAAATCCTGGAGGAAATCCATCATCGATTCTTCGATTTCTTTCCGTGTGCTACCTGCTTCTGAAAATTCTGGATTCATTATTGAAAACAGGTAATTAGCATCAACAGCACTTTCGTCATGATCATCTTGCACAAAAAGAGCTTTGCATACATTGGGGTGGGTTTGGAGAATATTTCTTAACCCATACGAATCAAGCCCATGCATGAATTCATTCAGATAGACTAACCTCTTGGTTACAATGCTGACGACAATAGACTGCCGAATTTCGCCAATGTGGGAATCATCAATTATTCCTGTATAACCGTGGTCGATAATGGTGTTGGTGTTCTTCATTATATCCTCTAGAATAGAATCTAATAGAATTCTGTCCGATGCTGTTAAATTTGTTTCACAGTTAAGTTCCTGAAGTGATATACTTGGGTTAACCAACAAATCATACACGGTTGCATCAAGACAGCGGGGTGCAGGTCCACCCTGGGCGAGGCTTGCAGCTATGATCTCTCCACAAGCCTTGAAGTTTCCATTTTGGATGTGAAGTGTCGAATCTACAGGTATTCCACGAGGAAACATACTAGAACCGATTTTAGAAAGAGTTAAAGTGAAGAACTCTTTTCCCATGGCACCAGAATCTATCCCTTGCTCACCACTGAATTTTACTTTCACCACATATCGAGATGATGCAGGTTTTCTTTTTATTTCTCTGCTCCAGATTGAAAGTACTCTATTTAGTTGGGCATTTCGCCTCAAAACAATAAACAGTTGTTTGTCTGATGAATCCACTTTCTCGGCCAACATTTTCACAATGCCAACTGTTGAGGGTGGTGATTCACTAGATTCTTTAGCCGTGACATCAGATGGAACCGCAGATTGTTCATTGTCGTACAGATCCTGTAAGTGGTTAGCCAGCTGATGATCTAGTTCAATTTGATCTGATTTATCTGAATCATCTTCTCGATCAGGCTTTACATCCTGTGTGGGTGCAGTTGTGAGATCAATGCTGATTGAGCTATTGTGTCGAGGACGTTTGGCAGGGTTGTCATTCTCTTGAGCATCATCTGAAACATTGCTAAGGGTTCTGACTGAAGGGTCAGAGAAAATGTCACAATCATCATCAACATTTTCATCGTCAAGTAGGCCTTCCGCTTTTAGAAAATCGTGATTTGGGCAGAGAAATAAGGTAGTTCGCTTAAAGTCTTTTCCTAATTCCTCGTGGTATCTGCTTAATGTGAATGGCTCCTTGTCTGAACCGGGTATGAAGACTGCCTGCTGTCCATCTTCATACAATAGGTGGTATTGTTGACTCTCGTCATACAGATCACTGTGAAAATTCTTCCATTTATGCTCAGCTTCTCTACGCAGTATAGTGTAAGTGGAATTTATTGCGACACGTATTGGTATCTTCTTTCCTCGTCGTCCTTTGAGTTTCTGCTCCTTTTCGCACCATTCCATGAGGCCCACATAAATCGCAACATTTTCTATCTTCTTTTTCTTATTGTCGCCTGACTTTGACACTTTGTTTTTCCATTCCTTACCTTTGCTTTTTCTATAATTGGCAAAAGAGCTCACTGGCACACTTGTAGATGGACGTTCCTCACAAGTTACCTTTTTCACTTGTTTATTGGTTGAACAGCCTTAAAAAATAAAACAGTCATCACACCTAACAACAAGTCTGAGTTAAACACTTTAACCATATCTCCAGGGTTGAAATTTCTGCCTGCATCAGCGCTACCCAAGCTGAAATCTGCTCAGGTGCTGTAGAAATCGAAGATTTTCTGATTTGGATATGATTTTCTGGACAGTTATTACTTGTTTAAAAAACAAAGAGCATCTGACTGGCATAACACAATAACTAAAGATTTATGAATTTTTCAAAAACTACTAACTGTAGTTGCTATGGAAACAATGACAAACGCAATCAAAGACTCCAAAAACTACAAAATAGAGCTGCTCGGACTATTTTGGATATGAGCAATAACATACTGTAGATCATTCTGTTGTATTGCAAGCATTGGGTTGGAAGCCACTTAAAACAGAAACGGAAGAAAAGTAAAGCAAAAATCATGTACAAATTATTGAATAAAATGGGACCCAAATCACTCACTACTCTCTTCACATATAAGGGTGAGGTGACAAACTACAAACTTCGATCGAAACATTTCAAGTAGTCCTTGTTTACCACAACCGTGTACTAATATGAAAAAAGTTTTGTGTATGACGGAGCACACCTTTGGAATTCTATTCCTAAAGAAATAAGAGAGAGCAAATCCTTTTTTCCTTTCGAAAGAAAATCGTTACTCACATTGATTGATAGATAACTGAAAACGTAGAATATTATATTACCTGTATATAGATTATTACCTTAGTTTGTTAGTTCATATAATACTATATATCTTATATAATTGTAAATAGTTTTAAAATTATTTTCTGTATACTTTTCGCACGCCCCTTGTGGAAATCAGCTTCGGTTGACGGGGTCAACATGTTCAAATAAAGCTTATCTATAGATCTTTACCTAACATGGCAGATATTTTATGCTTAAAATAATTTAACTCGAAAAAAGGTCGGTTACTCCAATTTTTTATTTCATAAAATCATTTCTATTAGTATTTTGAATTATTTTTCTAATTTAAAAAAAAATCTGACATGCTAAAATTTTTCAAGCTAGGAAAATGTGAAAATTCGTAATAATTTTTTGGCCATGATAGAATTTTTCAAAAATATACTAAAAGGAATGATTTTATGAGATAAAAAATGGGGGTAACCGAATTATTTTTTTCGAGTTAAATTACTGTACTTTAAACATAAAATATCTGAAATGTTGTGATGTCATTGTTGCCATAGCAATGGCAGTTACAGTAGGAGTAGTTTTTATTTAAATTTCATAACTCCTTAGTTATTGTGTTAATAGTTAATACCACTCAGATACTCTTTGTTTCTAAACAAATAATAACTCTCCAGAACTTCATATCCAAATCAGAAAATTTTTAATTTTTAAAAAGTGTACAAGGCTTACTGTAGAATTAAACAAAAGTTATTCCGAATAAGGAGTGCATAATATTAACACACAATTTATAAAAACAGTTTTTATAAATTGTGTGTTAATATTATGCACTCCTTATTCGGAATAACTTTTGTTTTATTTTTGCTGAAATTATCAGCTGGAAAAGGTTACTGTAGAAGCATCTGGTCCTATAAAATAGAATGTTATAATATATTACAGTCAAACCGGATGTTCTCTTGCGAGCAACATTGCAATATTGTCCCACAATATTGCAATTTTGATTGGCAGATTGCTTTGAGCAATTTGCAAGTGACGGGAACAAATTGTAAGTTGAAATTCACAAAAGATTTGTAAACAAAGCCTCTGATTGGACTATAAGAAAGAGGGAAATGCCAATCCAGTAGCTCAGACTATTTGATTGCAATGATTGGCTCCCTCTTTCTTATAGTCCAATCAGAGGCTTTGTTTACAAATCTTTTGTGAATTTCAACTTACAATTTGTTCCCGTCACTTGCAAAATGCTCAAAGCAATCTGCCAATCAAAATTGCAATATTATGGGGCAATATTGCAATGTTGCTTGCAAGAGAACATCCGGTTTGACTGTAACTAGTAATTAAATCTGGGTCATTTGTATTTTGAGCAAAGTTTTGGGGGTGGGCCACAAGGAATTATTGCTAACCGCCTAACCTTTACAGATTATTTCCAGCCCCCCCCCCTCACAGTACTTTTATATGCCTATTGCTCAAATCCCTAACAAACTGGCTAAACAGGCCCTGTTTTAGTTGCTAACATATTTACTCATCTAGTTTTTGTGTGGGTTTTTATGTTCAACACGAACGGCTAGATGGACAGTAAAAATTTGTCAAATAACATGTCAAATAAAAATATGACCACTGACACTGTCCTTTCATGAATATGCATGAAAGTCTGAAAGATGAATCGACATCACATAATACTATTTACATATTTCGCCAATAAGTATCGATATTTAGAACTTACCTTGTCCACAATGAGGACAAAAGTTGTCACTTATCTCCTTTTCCTTTCCGCAATTCGAGCAGAACATGACCTTGCCTGATTTATTTATACTAACTTAACTTTTGTTTTGTTTTGTTTTCGTAGCGCGCTCGAAAGTCAAAATGGCGCCAATTTACGGACAAACTATAATGTTTTCATAACATGAAGTTGTAGATGGGTAAAAGATGCAACCGCTGACCAAACCGCTGACCAGTTTTTTAATTTTTATTTTGCCGTGATGAATTTGCTCTTGCCGTGGGTATTAAATTTGCTCTTGCCGTGGGCAATTTGCTCTTGCCGTGGGCAATTTGCTCTTGCCGTGGGCAATTTGCTCTTGCCGTGAATAATTTGCTCTTGCCGTGGGCAATTTGCTCTTGCCGTGAATAATTTGCTCTTGCCGTGATGAATTTGCTTTTGCCGTGGCACATGTGGGCCACCGTAGTAAATCGCTACAATGTTGATAATGACTATAACTATAGGGAGGAATTAGTTGAATCTTTTCTTTCTGAATCGAATGGTGGTATTTCTGTCTTCATAGCATGCACCGAACCGAAGATATTAAATTTCTTGCAATCATCCAGTGCTGAACGACGCGACTGGGCTGTGGTGAAAAAGAGTTAAAATTAAGGCCCGTTTCATACGCCGTACTTCACATGTGCCGAATACATTAAAGACAATAGGTAATGAGCTGAAATGCCTCATTATCTATTGTTTTTAATGTATTCGGTACATGTGAAGTACGGCGTATGAAACGGGCCTAACAAATTAAAATCGTAATTACAAAAGTCGCTCTGATATTGAACGTTCGGAAACTTAGTACTATTTACAACATGAGCGGACGTGTTGTATCGGATATACAAACTCGAGCCGAAAACGACTCATCTTATGAGTTCATTGGCGAAGTAATTTTAAAAATAAACGTTGTCTAAGCCGAGAAAATCAAAGTTAAAGTTTATGTAGATCAACATGAATCTTTATCACATATACAGACTCCCTCACGCCCATGATTTCTTTTAATAGTATATATATATTGAATATACATGCAGTCGCGTCAAGTTCAAAACAAGTATTACCAGTGAATAATTTTATATACATTTAAGCCTTCGACCTATCGCGTACATTCGTCGGAAAAATATTCAATATTTTCTACTTCGACTGCTATTGATCAGAAAACTCGATCTGTTCACATTTATGGCCATTTAAAATACGTATATACCGTATTATTATTCGATTATCGCACGCTCCTTGTTTGCATTTACATCTCTGCATTTACATTTTACAAGTTTACAGTTGACATTCAAAGTGGGCGTGTCTTGTGCATTTGAATGCTATTGGCTAATGGAATACAATGGGAAGGTGAATGACTAGCGAAAGTAAGCAGACCGTACGTGGCGGGCCCAAACCCGCTAAACGGTAGGTCTGCATAGGAGACTAGCCGTGCACAGAACTGTCTAATTAAATCTTTGTTTGCTGTTCGCCTGTTCGGTTAAATAGAGAAACTGACTCTTAATTATATAAAAGTACCTTGAATTTTTAAGTTTAATTAAAAAGCAAAATGCTCTGCGGACACGTTCATGAGAACATATTTTTTTTGTGTATTAACGAAATTTACAACACTTGTCAATCATATTGCATGTGTGTCTAAAAATAACATATGGGCGTCTCACGGTCTAGACAGGTTCAACCTCGTCCCCAGGGCGTTTTGAGGAAAGATGCGAAGGGCAGCTAAGGCCCTGGTAAAGGCTGGTGAAATAATCCACAAATTGTGGATTATTTTGTCACGTGATATATCGGAGCAAATAGTATACAGGGGGGTGCGATCGCG